AAGCCCCAAGCTCCTTGTTCAGCATGAGAAGGCTGTCAGGGTAGATCATATGCCTGAATGGCAAGCAGAACCGACCTCAGTGGACAGTGCTGAGCGAGAGGCGGGCTATGAAATCCAATGTGGATCTTCCAGACCTTCTGTAACTTGCAAGAAGGTTGAGCATAAGCAGTTCCTGTTTTTTCAATCTTTGAAACCACCTGGCTAGATCTGGGGAGGGTATTTTCAGTGTTGACCTAATGCCATCTTTGGAATCTATCAGATTGAGTGTTGCCATTCTCAAATGTCTCAAATCCTGACAATGTCGGGCATTTAGGATTTCTGAAGTCACTGGATAGATAACTGCTGGAGATGGTTTTCTTCCCTTCTGAAGGTTCCAGTTGGAGTTGTTTTATTTTATTTAAGAATATATTAAAGGTGAGGGATTTGGGAACATTTGTTTTTGTCTGGTTACTGGGTCTGTGATTGACAGTGTATATACATCTTAAGGAATATCAAGCTTCTTAAAATTCTACGGGTTTTTTTCAACTGCTTCAGCATGGCTGTCTGCTGTATTCTTGAAATAAGAAAACAAAATCTTTGTTACCTGTTAAAATTAAATCCATTTCAATAAAGACATGTGAGCTAATATATCTGTGCTGAGCATGTTGGTATAAGTTACATTTAATTAAAAGCTCTTAAACTGTGAAATTCCCTGAAGAGACCATGAACGTTAGCCAGCTGCCCATGCATCAGAGCAACTATGTTTTTTTGTCTGGTATTAGTATGACTGGAAGACTTGTGCAATGTCTGTAGAACTCTGCAATGAAGTACTTAAAAATACTTGGTGAATAATCTGAAGTCAGTTAGCAATAAAGCTTTGTGTGAAATGCTATTAAAAAAATCTATTAACCATGGTACTAGTATATTCAAGTCAAGCTGTTAAAATATATTCCTATAAACATAGAAAAGATTATACATACACTCAGTAGAGTTCTGTGGTTTTCAGTCTTGAAATCCAAATAAAAGTTATATTACCCTCGGAGTGAAACTCTAAAATAGAGCAGTCTTTTCTAAGGACTTGTGCATCGGAGAGCCAGGAATGTCGGTAACTCCAGTAGGTTGCTCTGCTCACATGAAATAGAACAGATCACAATGCTGCACTGAGACACGTTCATGAAAGCACAGGGGTCTCTCCTACTCTCCCCATCCCCAACTCCCTACCAAGAACCTTTCTTGACTTGCAATAATTATAGGTGTTTTAAGACTCTGGTGATCTGGGTGCTGATCTGGGGTAGCGAGAATAAAGGAAGATGACGAAGTAATTTCAGAAGGTGAATAAACAAAGCGCAGCAGATGCGATTCAGTGTGCTGCATGGGAGTCATGATAGAAACAGCTTCCTGCTGCTATGCCAGGAATGCACCTGTCTTTAAAGATTTCACATCGCAGCCTCCCTGTGCCACAGGGAAAGGATAGCAGAGCTAGCTGTGTGAACAGGATAAAACGTAGATAGATGTGCAAAGATTTTTTTTTTGAAAGAAAAATTTAGCTTCAAAACTCCACATGGTTAACACTTCTCCAACCTTCACACTCAGATTAAGAAATCTAATCACACTATTTGTAGGTTGACATGACTTTTTAAAAAAGTGACTGTTAGCTGTTTAATTGTGAGAATAGTGCATTCCTAAACAAGAAACACAGTAGTTTCAACACTCACTTTGCAATCTTCGCTTTATTTTTCCATTTAGTAAAATCTTTTTCACTAAATGGAAAAATAAAGCGAAGATTACATGATGTAAGGATTTGTTTTTGTTAGATTACAGCGTCTCTTGGGAGAAGTTGTGTGGACATACTGTTCGCCTCACTATGGATATCCTATACATCATGTTCGAAACTCACATACATACGAAGTATTTGTAATGTATACCAAATGAGCATATTATTTATAGATGTCTTCTGTTTAATTGAAACTTACCATGATGTGATAATGGTTCTCAAATGTATTGGCAAAAACGTTTGTTTCTGAATAGGGAGGGAAAAGACTTGAACGTGTACTCAACTCGGTGACAAGTTTCTTCCTCACGGTCTATGATATAATTCCATTCACTAGGTGTTGTGCAAGCAATTAGCTAGTAGAAAGACACATCATGATTGTGGTAGTGATTTTGTGTGCCAAAAAAAAAAAAAAAAAAAAAACTAGTATGAAAGTGTGCTATGCTTGTGAAATGCGTGTGACATGGTATCTCCAAAGCATGGTATTTATTTGGCTAGAAAATGAAGTATGCTACATCCAACAGCCGCCATTTTTTTGGTGAAAAGTTCTGCTATGATGATTTAAAGTGCCATGGAAGTCTTAGTGGATTTTTTGAGCAACAGGGAGTGTTCGAGTTCTTTATCTGAGAGGAAAATGGAGTGAATTGTGTAGACTTCCCTAAGTGGCTAAGTTTGTAAGTTAACAGTTAACTAGATTATGTGAAGTGTTGATTTACAGGTGGTGTTTTAAATCAACTCCTGTTGATTTTTCCCAGCTTTCCGTGCCCCTCCTGGCCATCTACCCACGTCTCTGTGCTCAGAATCTGCACACTGACGTGTGTCGGGTCCCTCCTTCTCTCTCTCCGTTGCACTTCTTCAGACCCACTGCTGCCGCACTCGACAAAGCCTCCACCCAGGGTTATGCATTAGGAGACCAGAGGATGCGGGCACCTGCGATTAATTTTAGTCAGGAATTTATTTATTTTAATACAATAGCCAGGAGTTACTTTTTTCCCTATTCACGGGTGACAAGTTTGAAAATATTTACAATTGAGCGATTTCCTTCTTTATCGTCATGTCTGGCTAACGAAGGCTGAATGAATAGTTAGTATTAACTCCAATATTCTGTAATATTGTGGCAATAAGCAGAATACAGAGTGCATTTCAGGAACCTGAACACAACACTTTTCAATAGTGAATTCTAGTTCTATTTATGCCCAATGAAACAGAAGTGATGGAAGGAAACAGGTAAAGGCATGCACATCTGTAAAAATCAGATTGTTTAAAGTTGCACAGAGTCCAGCATAAGTCAACTGTACTTAAATAGTATTTACCATGGTATGAGTGATTTCTTGGTTTAGTAATAACTAAAATTATTCATGTGTTATTTCAAGAGATTCATATGTGAAGCAGTCATTTAAAATGTCAACTTTTCTTTTTCAGTGAAGCAAGGACTATGTTCAGTATAGGTTGTGTTAAGAAGGTATTGTTATCTGATTTTATTTTGTCTGTTTTAGAACATGGGAGATACAAAATCAGAGTAGCAACTTTAGGGGCTTAACATTGAACACATTTATTCTTTAGAAGTTTTAAAAGTGCAGAGTATTGATTCGTTCTTTTGAACTTGACAGTTAAGAATACTTGCAACACTTGTACGTTGTTTCTATTTTTTACAGTGTGCTGGAGTTACACATTTGTTTCACATCCATTTGAATGCGCCGTGGTTAGCTTGTCTGCTTGGAGAGCTGCGTGTATGCGATGGGAGGGGACGATGTTAGGCGTGGAGTGCAGTTGTGAGAGTACATAGGAAACATGCCGAGTTCCAGGAAGAATGACCCAGCTCTGCATGAATACTATTTTCAGTGAGATCATTTGGTAAAGATATGCTGGAATGTTTTTGTTAGAATGAAAGATAAATTCAATTACATCTTCTGATTACATGAATGTCTTAATGGGTTTTTTTTTTTTTTGGCTTTTTACATTTTAAGCAATTTAGGAAACTCACATGGAGTTTGTATTGTAGTTCATCCACTTGTGTTGCTGTGAAGGCATGGTAGACTAGCACAGGAGAAGTGACAGTCCCTCTCCACCAGCCTCTGCGTTCACTGTCGGTCCCTAGAGTGAGCAGGCAACCCTTAGCTCCCACGCATGCAGGATGGCTGTGTGGGTGCTCTGTCACCGTGCTTCTTCCCCAGGCATCTCCTGGGCTGGCCTGAGCACGTGTGGCATGTGTTGCAGCTAGGCCAAAGGATGGGTTCTGCAAGAGCCTGTGGGCCTGCGGGTCTGTCAGCAGAGCTGAGTGATCCTTCCTGCCCTTCTCGGGTCCATGCCTCCGTGTCCCTCCGCACAACTGCGTCACCTAAGTGGGTCACTTGCAGGGACAGTACACAGGAATCCTACCTAGTGCCCAAGGCCAGGAGCTCTGTGTTGGTGCGAAAGTTAGTGGGACTGCCTTAGTTATCGGTGCCCGTGGGACAAATGACAGCCAAGGGAGGGTTCTGAGGGCAACCTGTTGTCCGAGACATGGGAATCCTTAGTGTGACTCTTTTGAGCTTTCTTCGGAATGAGGTCAGTAAGATTTCACTCGGTTCTCAATTCTCGTCCATCGTCTCTCACAAAGGATAAATGTGGAAAGTGCCGAAATATCTTCCTGGTCCTTTCAGCACACCCTCCCAGGGGCCGCGGGTTTTGTGAGTGGGATGTGTCTAGCCCGTGCCTCAGTGTTGTGGTGGGAAGAGTATGCCATTGCGTCGTGAAAGGATACATGGAAACTTCTCCTAGATTTTCTACAATCAGTCTTCTCTGGGGCCAATTATGAAGAGGTCAGGAGGAATCTTCTGTCCTTAATGAAGACAGTGTGCCTACACATCGCTGAACCCACAGGGCAATAGGCAGTTGTTTTTCACATGTGATCTGAGGCAACGGTCTTTGCTTTTACAGTTCAAGATGAACCCTCACGTGTCAAGACTGCTGTGTCTATGCGATTCCTTGCTTCCTTTTAAGGGTTTTGTTGTTCTGTGAATAAACACACTGAAGAGTTTTCAGAACCTGTGTCTATAACGTGAAGTGGATTTTGCTTTTCCAATTGTTTGTCTAAAATAGCCAGGCTGAAGACAGAACCGTGCATGGGAGGGTGAACGCCCTGGATTGTGCAAAGATTTGAATTCTTTTTGTTTATTTGGGCATGTGACGAGGTTTGCTGTCGATTTCTTCTGTCGTACACTGCCAAAGCTTCTATTTAAGTATTGTGAAAACTCTTTGTTTCTTTCAGGTCGAATGATTGATTTGGATGCCATTAGTCATCCAATAGATTCAGAGTCTAAAGAAGATGAGCCCTGTAGCGAAGAGACAGACTCAAAACACAATCTGTTTGCCGAAATCATACCCGAAATAACTAACCTAATTAACATAGATATATACCATAGTGAAGAGAGCGAAGGGGAGGAGGAAGAGTGTACCAACGCCACTGACGCCACTGATGCCACTGACGCCACTGACGCCACGACCACCCCATCGGTGCAGTACATCAATGGGAAACACCTGGTCACCACAGAGCCCAAGGGCCCGGAAGTCGCAGAAGCCAGGCGCGGCCAATTTGAAAGTGTTGCACCTGCGCAGAATTTCTCAGACAGCTCCGAGAGCGATCAGCATCTATTCATGGGATCTGAGATTGAGCTGTCCACCATCCTTCAACCTAACGACTCCGCAGAAGCCACCGAATCATTCGAAATCACATGGAAGCCTGAGCTTTACTCGGAAACTCCAGAGCAGTTTTCAGGTGGTGAACCGGAAGTCTTCCCCGTGGTGCCATTCCATGAGGGAGAAACCACAGAGGGGGCAGCATCCGAGAATGGCCTTGAACTCGAGAATCTGATGCCCGAACCTACAGAGGGTCTACTTCTGTTTCCCGAAGAATTGTCAGGAGAGGTTGCCATTGACCAAGTGTCTCCAAAAGTAGTCTCTGGGGGAGCGACCGAGGTACCATTTGCTGAGGGGGCAGAGCCGAGTACTTCTCTCACACACATTCCCAGGGTAGTGCCAAGTTCTGTGACAGCAGCTATTTCAGAGGAAAGATCAGTAAGCTTAACAGGAAACCCACAGCCTGATGGCCTATGGTCTACCAAAGAAAGCTGGGTAGACCTGTTGGCCAGACAGAGCCCAGACCTCTCAGGGAGTTCCTCACATCTGGTCCCAGAAGGTTCTGGTGGAGAAGCAGATGAGTTGACAGACAAGGTGTTTGCTGTGTTTACTGAGCTCTCACAGGGAAATGCCACAGATTCACTCACTACCCCAGACACTAACAAGTTGATGCTCACACAAAGCCTTCTAGATATTCCCACGGCCACCGTCTACTTGGTTTCCCAACAAGCCACAAAAGTAATGGCCACCCAGTCAGTAAGTGAAGCGAGCTCTCCTGGGGGAGGTTTCAGTACAGCTACTGAGGGAACGAGAAGGCGGGAGAAGGAGATGAAAGACAAAGAGGAAGAAAAGGAGGGAGCCACAGGTGCAGTTCCCACAGTTGAGTCAGTACATTCAGCTACTGCAAGAACAGAGCAAGTCATTTTAGCTTCAGAACTGGAAAATGTAAAGGCAGCTACCATTAGTGATTCAGCTGGAAGAGAGACCACTGGGGCCTGGATAGCACCCACATGGTCCAGACGGGAGCCCACAAGGTCTGCTCTTGTCTGGAGAGAGATGCATGCTTCTGATGAGGTGGGGACAGGATTCCCTGAGCACAATGATGGCCGTCAGCATGAGGGACAAGAAGCACTGCCCACTCACCCACAGAGCCCTGCCTTTCCCTTTATGGAGCAGGGCTCTGGAGATGCCACTGCTGACCCTGAGACCACTACCCTCCCTCCATGGCCATTAAACCTAGAACCTGAAACCCAAACCAACAACGAAGAAGTTGCCACTTTCTCTCCCCACGTGGGACCTGAATTTTCCTCTGAGCCCACAGTGCAAGTCTTGAGCACTGGTAGCATTAGAGAAGTTGCTGAGGTGGACAGGCAAATGCCCGAGGAGACTGCTGAGGGCGCAGGAGGGCTGAGGCCCAGCGCGGAGATGAGGAGCTTTTCGACAGGGTTTCCTTTGGAGCAGGAGTTCAGTGGTGACGCTGGAGAGTATGTCACAGCATCTCAGTCCATCACACAAGAGGAAATGCTGGTGATGGAAGGCTCTGGGGAACCAGCCTTTAGTGATACTCCAACTTCCCTACCTACCACACCTTCGTCAGTTCATGTCAGTCACACACCTGCCTCAAGAAGACCCGGTAGCCCTGTGATCGACCCCTCAGCCTTCCCTTGGGAAGCATTCCCAGCCTCCGTGGAGGGCTCAGGGGAGCAGCTGGCCACAGCCATCGGCTCTTTCGAGCCAGTTCTGCACAATGTAGTAGGTAACATTTCCCAGACAAATTCCCCTTTTGTTGATCAAGTAATGGGAGAAGTGGGTACTGCTGGTGAAGCTCGTGAAAGAGCCACCGTTTTGCCAGCAACAGAAGGCACTGAAGCCCCCCCAGCAGAGGAGGACACAAGCACGGCCACTGGCACAGTGCCCTTGAAGTTTCCCCAAACAATGGAGCCCGCCAGATTATGGTCCATTCAAGAAGCTATTTCTACAAGAGCGGGGACTGAAGATGAAATGGAGAAAACCCAAGGGCCAAGGTCTTTGGAATCCTCCCAAAGCTCTCTTGCACCTGATCAAACAGATTTTGATTCCCAAACATCTAGTGGCACTGAACTCCAAACCACAGGTTCTTCTACACTAACAACAAAGGACACAGAAGGCACTGACAAGGAAGTGGGGGGAAAAGACAGTCCCTTCGTTAACACCGTGACTCCAGAGCCGAAGGCAGAACATTCACAGTCACACACTGCTCGCCCACAAGCTACAGAGAACTCACACCTTTTCTTTGCGCCTGCCTCAGTGACTGAATTTACGTCAGCTGAAGGTGCCGTCACAGATTCATCAGTCCAAGTGGAAGACACCGTGACCCCCTTCCTTAGTGGACTGCGGCCGACAGGCAGGGAGTCAGGCGCTGGTCTCTTGTTCTCGGGAATGGGGTCAGGAGAAGAAATGTTGCCCGCTTTCCCTACAGTGTCAGTGAATTTTACTGAAATGGAACAAATCATAAGCACGTTACATCCCCATACTTCTCAAGTGGAAAGTTCAAAAACAAGTATCTTAAGCAGTAAAACAGAAGACGAAGAGAACATGGAAAATGTGGTAACTGAAGCCGGACCACACGGCTCTAAGATGAACATTTCCGAAGGTAGCGAGGCAGCACTTCACACAGATCTCACACAAGCTCTAAGTGACCCTGGGGCAGAGGGACCCACCATGACACCACTGCCTTTTGCCAAGGATCCTCACCACCCTCAGGACCACACTCCTGGGTGGACAAAGGAAACTCCAGCTGGGTCACTCCAAAGCACAACTGCCCAAGCCTCTGATGAGAGTGTTGCAGCAGCAGAAGCTAAAGGAACCTCAACCTCATCCATAGTTGCCGTCATCCAGACGTCTGGTCTCGAAATGGCCCCCGGATCGGTGACATCAGAGCCCAAGCCAGCTGATTTGTTTTCTGAGCATTCTGGAGAAGGGTCTGGGGGATTGGTTGTTATTGATGTCACCCCCACGTCTAGAACTACTCAGACCTCCCGACAAGGAAGCCTCGTGTTTGCTTCTGAGGGGTCCCTGGCAACACAACCTGAAGCTGTTACTGCTGATGGAGTCCACATGGTGTCTGAGGGGCTTCCTCATTCAACGCACAGTGATGCCACTAGCACATGGCCAAGTCCAACGCTGCATGGGAAGTCCACGGAAGGGGCCACAGCCGCTGCTTCCCAGGGCCATTATGGAAGAGTTGAGGATTCTACCGTCAATCCTAACAGAAGAAAAGGCCCTGAAAATATTTTCATCGATGGCATTTTCATGGACAAGGAGGATAAGGATCTGATAGTGGCCATCACAGAGAACAGCATCCTTGAAATGCTCCCTGAGCTCACCTCGGATAAGAACACCATCATAGACATCGATCACACCAGACCTGTAGACGAAGACATCCTTGGAATGCAGACAGCCGTGGAAGCAGAGGGCCCCTCGGGCCCACACAGCAGCAGTGAGGAAAGCCCTGCCGGCCAGGAGGCCTCCCATTACCTCTCCCTAACCGAGGAAACTCCCGAAGGCTCTGGTGACACTCTTCCAGCCGCCCACACTCAGGCCACACACAGTCCATCAAGGGCTTCCCATGATGGAAGCCAACCAGATCACAGGGTCTCTGACCTCCCATCCGGGACCCCTGACCCTAGCATAAAAGTCCAATTGGAGAATTTGCCTCCGACCATCATGTCTCTGTCCATCCCTGCAGAATCGGCCACGGTCCCTCCACAGTGGGAGGAGCCAACGCTGGAAGCCAAAGGCTTGGACGACACGTTTGAGTCCAGCACTCTGTCTGACGGTCAGGCTGTGGCAGACCAGAGTGACATCATGTCCACCCAGGGGCATGTGGGAAGGACACAGGAGGAAAATGAAGAAAAGCCAGCGGGTCCCTCTTTCCAACCAGAATTCTCTTCGGGAGCTGAGGAGGCATGGAAGGACCCTACTCCCCTTGTTACTATTGGTGAGCCCATGGCTCAGAGTCTAACCGAGGCTCCCAGGGAGATGGGAGGAACCGACCCTGCCCTGCACACTGAGAGGACATCAACAGTGGCAGCGTTGGCAAGGGCGTCCCCACAGATATTGTCATCACCTGTCTCCATTGATTCAGGCAGTGGAGCCTCGGAACACACAAGCTTCCCCCTCCCGAGTGCTCTGCCAAGCCTGGAGGTTAGCCCAGACCCCGTGTCCTCAGAGGAGTCTTTTAGGGAAGCCCATGCAGATGTGGAAGTGACTTTCAAACCATCCCATGAAGCCTATTTTTCTGCAACAGAGCCTCTATCTTCATCTCCCAGCCCAGAATTAGACCCCTCAGAGGAAGGAGGTAGCCCTGAGTTCCCAGAAGAGATGGAAGCTTCTCCCGTAGAGCCAATTACTGAGGAAGGGACTGGGACTCCCCAGGACCCCCCCAAAAAGGCCAGCACTCAGCTTCCTGGAGAAACAATGACAGTTTTGCCCAGTGTTGGGACAACGCAGGCTGGGATGGTCATCCCAGCTGCTGGAGAGGTCAGGTCGGAAAGTTCTCCACGGTGGCCACATCTTACCTCTGCTCCTGTGACCTACAGGGTGGAGGCCCGTGTGGTGCCTCAGCCCAGCCCCAACCCACACACTGCCGAGGAGTCCACAGTTCCTCCTCCATGGGAAACAGATCTGGAGACCCAAGCTTCAGTCACGAGGGAGGGCTCCAGAGTAGCGACAGCAGCAGAAGAGCAGGCATCTGGGGGAGTCCCAGGTGCCAGGAGCCAGGCAGCAGGAAGTGCTGCAGAATTCAATCCCCAGCTTGCCACGCCTCCATTTTCCCTTCCGGAAACCTCTAATGAGACTGGGTTCCTGATTGGCCTTCATGAAGAGTCAATAGAAGGCACAGCGGTCTATTTGCCAGGTAAGATCACAGCACTGATAAATCTGTTTCCACACTTGGAAACAGTCCTTTGGGCCTCACCTGTGTATGCACCTAGTTTTTTATTGTGATGTCAGACTGATAGGGTTTTAACATTGTTCGCATACAACAGGGCCGGCCACCGTGTTCAGTCCTTAAGGAGATGAAATGAAGTAAGTACAGATGATTTCTGGGCTTTGTTGGTATAGTTTGTGTTTTTTTTTTTTCAGGGGATTTGGAAACAACATACAGTCGCAACATGGAAAAAATGAAATTGTTAATGATCTAAAAATTTAGTGTAATGTCACAAGTGCAGTGCAGTGTGGCTCTTTAAGAAAAAATTAAACAAACAAAAATTCCAAAAATAAAAAACTCTCCCATCAATTGATGCTATTGTGCCAATATCAAAAATCACACATGAGAGCAACGAACAACTCTTTCCCAGCTTGTTCACGGGCAGTGCTGAGTTCACACTTTGGTGTAATTTCCTGGCTTGAAATGGTGTGAACAATGCTTCTTACACAGTGCCCGGCCGAAGTGGTCGTTCATGGGACAGAGTTTTGATCTACTGTTAAGAAAAAACTTTGCTCACCTACCAAACATTGTAGAGCGCATGCATCTGACACTGCTTCATAGAGACGACCCCATTTGATGTCCAGGAAGGGATAGAGGGCACATCCTCTTCGTCCCACACAGAAGGGTGGGTCATGGTAGTTTAGAAAGCTCAACAACTTGCCCAGCCACAGGATGGCAGAAATGGGATTTGAACCCTGGTCAGGCCCACTCTGCAGTTCATGGTCTTTGTTCACTGCTGTTTTCCAATAGAGTGTGAAGATGGGGCATTGGCGTTTAATTATTGTAAGCTGGACGTCTGGCCGGAGAGTGTTGAGAATGCAGATTTGTTAGTGTTCAACGCCATTACTTAGATAACGATGTCAGATCCACAAACACCGTTACCTCCTAGCAGCTACCCGGAAGAAGAAGAGGAAAAGGCACTGATGGTTGTTTTATGTCATGGCTACTGTTACAATGTTTTTTCCAGTCAAATCAGTATTACCTCCGGTGCCACAAATGCTTCGTATTGATGTACTCCAGAAAGCTGAAAAACAAGGAAGTGCAACATTTTATAAATGGCATGAGTGTATTGTGAATAAAAGTGATCAAAGATGGTGGGCATTGAATTTTTTTTTATCTTGTCGCTCTGTAGTTAAGCTGTAACTGGTAACTGAGTAATGTGGCCACTGTTTTGTAATTTCACTGAAATTTAAATCTGGTTGTTGGAAATGTCATGTAGAAATAGTTGGTGATGATTATACATGTATATAAAGTTAACTTTGCATGATGAGTGAGCGATGTGTACCAGTTATGCACTGTGTATGTTTGTCAAGAATTAGAGGTTGCGTCTTCATTGCAAAACAGATTGTCACTTTAGCTTAACCCAGTAAGCAGCAGCTCACGTGGGATTGCCTCGTCTAGCTGTCACAGATTCAGCCCTCTGAGCTTAACATAGACTATTTAGAGAAGAGCATAGTTAATAAAAACAAAGCTCTTTTCCTAGTTGGAACTACCTCAAGTTTTCAGAGAAGACTCACTTTCTCAGCAAGTCCCAGTCCTAGAGTGAGTGCGCTCTCACTGTGTGCAGGGGGTGTAAGGAAGTGGGGGTGCATCTGAGTGTCACAGCGGCGCACGGACACAGTCAGGTTTTACACAGTGTGCGGGTGCCTGTGGTACCAAAGGCAGCCTTGGGCAGACAGGGCACAGACAGGGCACAGACACGGCACGCTTACATGCGTGAGGCGTAGCTTGCCAGGGGGGTTTTCTTTCTTTCTTTTTCTTTTTTATGCTTTGGGAACTGCAGGAACAAGTGCCCCAGAAAACTCTGGAGAGCTTTTGAAGAAGTTGGTCTGATTGTGTGGATTAGCCGAGTTTTAATGTGAATCCCAGCATGGGAGCATGTATCTCGCACGTCTTTCTAGTCCTGTGGGGTTTGCGTACTGCACACAGCATGTCCGTGCCTGCCCCTGTGTGGGTGAGGCTTGGTGGTCTGCCCCAGCAGCCCTCGTCTGTGCTCATGTTCTTCGAGTTAATGTTTCACAAGAGGTTAGATACATTCTTGTAAGCATTTCAGGACTAAAGATTCCATATACACTCTATTTTATATAATTTGGGGGGGGGAGTTGGGGAGAGATGCAACTTTTTACTTTAACTTATATTTTCCGACCTAAGCAATTCTGAAAAAAAAAAAACGTGAAGAATAAATATTCAAAATGATTGAGTAAACTTAAAAAAGTACACTGATTCAAGCTATGTTGGAAAGCTGTGTAGTATTCCAGGGAGATTCCTTTGCAGAACATTTTTTTTACTAACTGCTCTCTTCGTGAATTTATGCCCTTTGCCCTTATGCCGATCTCTTAGGATTATGGGTTTTATGTATATTTTAATCATTGTAATAGAAATGTGGGATTTCCTTTGAGATGAGGTGTCTGTTTTCGTACAGTAGCATTTAATCCATGTGTTGCTTTTCTTTAAGTATAGTTAAAGGAGTACATTTGGAACGTGTTTTTGGAAAAGGCATATTAATGTAGCGGAAGATACTTCACTTTCGAAGAGAAACAGTTTCTGAGCGTTAAGTGGTAAAAGGCAATATAATTCCAACGATGGTAACAAGCCAGTCTTCTAAAAAGAATGCATGTTCTGTGTACCCAGTCATTTCACATGAACTAACCTCGTTTAAAAGAATACATTTTCCATTCACTGTGCACATATGTGTAATCATTTTTGACTAAAATCAATTGCCATTATCATGCCAACTAAATCTGCGTAGAGTCTATTAGTCGCCAGATCCAGCATAAAAGCATTAAAGTTAATCATGATTGAATCCCAGAAATAAGTAGATGCAATTGATAACAATTAGTTATAATATCAAAAAACACTCCAGAGAGTAATTTTTTAAATGTAGTATCTTGAAGTAGCTATGGTAAAACTTATATTATGATAGCAAAATGTGACATTTTATGCTAAAATAATTGCAACTGTGGAAATGAGCCTAATTGCCTTGCTTACTTCCTGACATGGTAGGACCTGATCGGTGTAAGACAAACCCATGCCTCCACGGGGGCACCTGCTACCCGACGGAAACTTCCTACGTGTGCACCTGTGTGCCCGGATACAGCGGGGATCAGTGTGAACTCGGTAAGATGCTGTTGGCTGAGGGGGCCTGTGTCTTTTCTGGAAGATACCTTGGAGTAGAATTTCCATTGTCAAATGCATCAGAGATCTCAAATCTCATCAGAGAGGCCCTTACATAGAGAAATGACATGCCCATGAAGCTAGGTCTGCAAGTCATGGGTTGGTGTTTGTGGAGTGGGGACTGACAGGGAATGAGCTCTGCTGGGGTACCAAGGACTCGGGGAGGCTGACCCAAGTCAGCGCCATCCTTCTGTGGCTTTTCCAGGTACGCTCTGCTAAAGTAGAGATGAAAAGCTGTAAGTTACCACACATGTGGCTCTGTTCTTAAAATCTGGGCATCAATAATCAATTGAAGAGTACTTCCCATTTTTAAAAAATTTATTTATTTTTATTGGAAAGCCAGATATACAGAGACGAAGATCTTTCATTCGCAAGTGGCCATATGGCTGGAGCTGAGCTGATCTGAAGCCAGGAGCCAGGAGCATCTTCTGGGTCTCCCGTGTGGGCGCAGGGTCCCAAGGCTTTGGGCCGTCCTCAGCTGCTTTCCCAGGCCACAAGCAGGGAGCTGGATGGGAACTGAGGCTGCCGGGATTAGCACTGGTGCCCATATGGGATCCCATGCATGGAAAGCAAGGACTTCAGCCACTAAGCTACCGCACTGGGCCCTGAAGGGTATTACTCTTTAATAAAGCTCTGTTAAGGCAATAACAGTCTGAAAAATCAACAAAACATTGAACTCTTGAGTTTGGGATAATTCTACCCCCTGCTGTAGCAGGGAAAGGGACACCCCTCTGGAGTTGATGCCCCTCTTCTTTTTGGGATCCGAAGAATAAAATCAGCTTTCAGTAAATCTCTTCCTCCCATTAATATATTCCTGGTAAGGTTTCCTTTTGTTTGGTAATAAGAAGGCCCTGGTGTGCGTTGGGCTAAATGCAAGCCTTACCTCTGCGGAGAGTGAAGTGGGTGGTACAGGTGTTCTTCTGGCAGGTTCCAGGAAGGCGGACTTAAAGTCACTGGCTAAGGAAGCCCGCCAGTGATGACACCGTAGATTACACAGAAACACCGGGTGAGATCCCAGGAGTGCTTCTCTTAAAACGAGGAAACCTGCCACGGAGTTAGTGAGCGCTCCCCGTGTGCCAGCAGGTGGGAACCAGGTAGCATATCAGGATTAATCCCATCTGAGCTGCCAGGGTTACATGTGTCAGAGCATCACTCTGGGCCCTGTTCTGTTGAGTTAATAGTGCCGTGGCCACCGCTTAGCAGACGGCAATGGAAACTTCTGCTCTTTTTTCCATATCTTTACTTTTGCAGCTTGGAAATACACCTCGCTTTGTGTGTCCATATTTTTTAAAATAGGAACATCATTTAATGTAAGTAAGCATTAATTATTCAGTGCAGTTTCAAAACATGATGGCCTTGGCGGGGAAGCCACTGGATTTTGCGAACAAAAACGTATGATGATCAGCTAAATATAAATATCTGATTTAAATAAGGGCTAATACTTAATAATTTAGTGTAAATTAGTCTTGAATATTGCAGAGGACATGCACTAAAACTCATACACTTCCTAGAAGAATCTTTTCAAAGAATATAACATCTAGGGAATGTCATATTAAAAGACATTATAATATGAATCTTTTAGAGGAACGCTCAAGTTCAGTTTTAACTGATTATCCTCTAGCTAACCTGGCCATTTCACAGTAAATAGAACTATTTGATTCTTTTTCTTAAATCTGTTTTTGCAGTCTTACTATTTTATTTCAGATTTTGATGAGTGTCACTCTAACCCCTGTCGGAATGGAGCCACTTGTGTGGATGGCTTCAATACGTTCAGCTGCCTCTGTCTGCCCAGCTACGTTGGCGTACTCTGCGAACAAGGTAAGAGCCGTTACAGCGCCGACATGACGCACATTCTCCATGTTTTCACTCACTGTGACCTTACCGCGTCGTCTCTCCCGCAGAGGAGACCATCGAAGGAACTAGATCTGTTAGGTATCTGAGTGGCTCAGAACGTCTGGCCTGAGACCCGGACTGGTTGTGGTTCTTCTGCTGATGGTTTTGGCAGGGACACTGAGCTGAAGTGAAGGGCAGCTAGCTAACCCGAGGGGCACTGCTGGAGACATGCTTCCTACCAACAGAGGCATTGGCTGGCTGTGGCTTGGGCACCCAGGACCATTGAATTCAGTGTTAGCTGCCTTTATTTCCTGCCCTAAGCACTTACATTCAATGGCATTATTTCATTTTGTTAGACATACCTGCTGAAGTTATTGATACAATTGTTACAATGTAATATTAGCTCCAGCCAGATATTACTATATAAATGGCATCATGATTTTGCTTAAGAATTCAACTCAACTTGAATTTTCCTGCGTAAGAAGTATCTACTTTTTCGGAATGAACAAACGAAGGGCCCAGACCCTCCGAATTGTTGCAGTTGGCACTTTCTGGCTACAAAGAGCTTTCTAAAGGCCACCCGAAGAGAGCGTATTGACGGTAACACCACCTAGTTCATCAATCAAGAGCAGCTTGTGTGCTCAGAGCACTCCGCTTTGCAATGCCTGTTTCCTCTGCTTCAAGTCATACAGTGGTTTGGCTTTGGGGAAAGTGTTCCATGCCAAGCTTCCATTCTGCCAGACAAAATGAAAATGTGTTAGCCACTCAGACACGTTGGTCTGGCCCCACCCTCTGCTTTGTGGTCATAAGCCAGATGTCATTAAAATGAAAGCAAAGCTAACAGTGGCATGCACTGAATCATTGTTCCAAGGCAATGGGTAATGGCTAAGTGTCTTTTTTTTTTTAATTGCATGGAGTGAGTTTGTTTTAGAATTTTTAATATAGAAACAAAACAAGAACCTGAAAAAGTGAAAAAGGAGGATGTCGCTTGTTGAAGAGCACAGGGGAGTGAGGCGCTGGGATCTGCCAGAACAGTTGTGGCCTCCCTGAGTTCCAGGACCAAGAAACCATTCAAGCACTCGGCTCTTCACCTAGTACTTGCTGAGTCTCTGCTCTGCCAGGCACTGCTGTGCTGTTGTGGGCATGGGAGCAGGAGCACCAAATAATCTCATGTCCTGGGCCCGGCTGAGTTAACTGGGTGCAGAGAATAGAGAGACACTTGGTAGTTGCAGCTGACCAAAGGCTGGGAGGTACATCTGCGTGTTAGGATGTTAGAAGCTGAGGCTCACAGAGGTCCCATCGCAGACGCTATCCCAGGGCGAGTGCATCCAAGTGGCTTGCTTCTGAAGCCCGAGCTTTTCTCAGTATCTTCAGACTTCTAACATGGCCCGCCGTTGGACTGTGGGTAACAGGGGTTTGGGAGGGACTTGGGCCGGTTGTTTTTTCTCTTTGAGAGAAAAGGCTTTCATTTGTTCCCTTCCTTCCTGGTACCACCTCACTTTGCAGTGGCTTTCGGTTCCTCTTCAAACAAGTGCAGCCATCTCCTCTCCCCGCACAGAGGAGCACCCCCAACCTGTTTACCCACTGCAGCTGTGTGCCTGATGAACAATGTTCCCCTCCTCCTTCCAGGCTGCCTAAGAACAAATGTTTTCTTCATTAATAGCGGCGACTTGTCTAAACACTTTTATAGCCAGAGCTCAGTGATGACTGTGTCATTGTTTCCTCAGAGAGCAACTTGCAAGTCACAGTGACTCTGAAAAGGGGGCACGTGTGGGCGGGAGGAAAGCAGACACAAAACCTAAGAAGGTTCAGAAAAGAGTTCAGCACACACAGGCTCAGCCCGAGCCGGTGCAGCTTGCCCCAAAGGAGGCAAAAGTGTTGACAGATGTCCACGAGGTCGCCAACAGAGGTATCGAAACGTTACCTGTGTAGCCTAAGAAAGATAGAGCCTTCCTGAAACTGTGTAAGCAGGAAGATTTCTGCCTGCCCGGCCATCTGCTGCACTATGAACCTGGGAGCTTGTACGTTACCTTCGCAGGATTCGAATGTACCCGCTCCTGCTGATGCTGGCTTTGAAAAAGTTGTTTCCTTGTAGCTGGAATACAGTGAGTTTCATATGACTTTTAGATATGGATTTAGACTCCATGTATGGATTATATATATAATCTATAGATGTAAGTATTTTATGTTTAATTAATTTACATAAAAGGCAGATTTATAGAGAGGTCTTCCATCCATTTCTGAAAGGTAACAACAGCTGTGACTGGGCCAGGCCAAACCAGGAGCCAGGAGTTCCTTCTGGATCTGCTAGATGGGTGGCAGGGGCCCATGGGCTCAGGCTGTCCCCTGCTGCCTTCCCAGGCGCACTGACAAGGAGCTGGATGGGAAGCAGAGCAGCCATCTGTAGGATGTAGCACTGCAGCACAGCCCCAGCCCCGGAGACAGCTGTTTTAGATTTAAATTTTGGATTTAGACTTAGATGTTTAGATATTTTAGATGAAATTGGAAAACTAGCACACTGGCTCCGCGATCTCCTGTCAGAATACCACCCTGGAAGTGGCTGCTCCGCTGCTGGTTTGTTAAAAACATGAGTGATGAAAATTCCATTGGTCAGTGGGCACGCCTGATTTTTTAAAAACATGTAGTGGCTGTTTAAGTAACTGGTGTTTGCACAAATAATTAAAGTCATCGATGAAGCTTGAGTCTAGATATTATGGGCAAATGGATCCTCCCAGCTTGGTTCTAACAGAAACATTGCTTCTTATTTTGTGGACCTGTGTCCATACTTCAAACGAGTCTTAGAAAAATGGATCTTAAAAAATAAATTCACTTCGGTGCAAGAATTTTGATCCTGCTGTGCAGCTAACATGACCTTCTTGGAGACCGTCCTTTGTAGCTGCCAGCTGAGGATGGCATCACAGCAGTCACGTGGCTATGGGCTGCTCCGTGGGATCGGCGCAGTATTTTGTTTAAGAGGAAAAATACTTAACAGTAACTTATTTTAACAACAGTAAGAGAAAGCCAAACTAAAACCATATAGGTTAATAAAGTATAAGAAAGAGTATATAGAAGAATGATCTTTTCCCCTGATACGTTACTAAATAAATCAGGATCCTCTGGATCTTTTAAAACTTATTTTTATTTGAGTTAGAAAAAAAAAAAAAAGGAAGGAGAGAGAAAGAGATAGCGCTTCCTTTAGCTGGTTCACTCCCAAAATGGCTGCTTCAGCTGGAGCTGAGTCCATCTGAAGTCAGGAGCCAAAGCCTCTTCCTCATCTCCCACACAAGCGGAGAGGGCCAGGAACTCCCGTCTCCACTGCTTCCCCAGGTCATCAGCAGGGAGCTGGATCAAAATTGGTGCAGCGGGAACATGAAAACTGGCACCCATTTGAGAAGCTGGCATGCGGGTGGAGGCTTAGCTTCCTATACTGTGATGCTAGTTCCATGAATCCTCTGGCATTTTAAACCATATGTCTCAAAATAAATGGTAATTTCCAAAGCCAAGGAAATCCATGGTATGACGAATTGGCCTCAGCATTAAGTGCCATAAAGATGTCTCCAGGCCTGCTAAGTGGATGGGCTTTGCAGCTCAGGTCCAAATCCTTCCAACAGAACTTCCCTGAAGGGAAATTAACAGATCCCAGTGGTCCAACTGTGCTTCGGCGCTGAGTGCTGCTTTGACACCAACCCAGCTTGCTGTGTCTCCACGATTCCCGGCAGACTTGGTGGTCTCCCCACAACACTTCCACATGAGCTCCCAACTTCCAGGGAGCAATGAGTCAGCACTGCAGCTAAACAACAGGTCCAGTAGACTAAACTGCGAGAAAGACTGCTCTCCCAGATAAGCCAAGCCTGCGTGTCGTCATCCCCGGGATGACGGGGGCCAGGGAGAGTGTCCCGTCTCGCCCAATGCACACTTTCCCACTGTTGCAGGAAAGGAGACATTGAGTCAGGAGACAAGTTGAGTTTGAATCTGGCCACCACAGCACCAAAAAACACAACAGCAAACAAACAAAACCCTCACGAGATCTTATTCCACATACATGGCCACCAGCACTTGCAGGGGAGAAGATGCCTCTTAAGTAACCTTAGGTTTTCCTGGTGCCCAGAGTTCTAGAAATTTCACAGTCTTGTGATTTTTGTGTGTAAGTACTTGAGTGTATTTCTGAGATGTCAAAAGCATTTAAATTGATATCACTTAAGGTATATTTGGTGCGACCCCGCCCTGTGGATGGGTGTGCCTGTGGGAAACTGAAATGAGAATCTAGTGCCAAGAGCAAGGCAACGTCTTGCGAATCCGTTAGAAGCAGCTAAGGAGAAAGCACTGAAACGTGCGGTCAGTGTGCAATCTGCATTTCTGTGAGTAATGTTTGCATCCTGTTGAGATCCCACTGATGGCATACAAGACAACACACACACACTCTGCACAACTTGGGAGATGAAGTTGTATCAAGTCAAGGATCTGGGTTATTTTTGTTTTTACTGGACTTGCGATCTGGGTGTCTTTGCACCAAGCTCTGTGTTCTCCCTCCCTTACGGGGAAGGAAGGTCACAGTTCCGACTACATCCCCAGACTGCCCACTTTAAATCCTAGGGGCCCAGAGCGTGCCCCTGCCCCGTTATCTCGGAAGTGGGAAAGGGCTCTTTCAGAGGCTTTGAAGTGGCTACGCAAATAGAGCATTCATAATCCTATTAGGGGAATTCTTATCTTAGCCCTTGAATGGCTGTCTGAGAAAGGCTGCTTGGTGCCCCCTGCATCTAAAGCAGTCCCGGACCAGCAAAGCCCAGGGGTCCGGCGGGCTGGCTGGCTGGCGATTCTCCCCACTTTCTGCCCCTTGGAAACTGGCTTTCATCGAGGGAACTGCCCTCAGACACTGTCTGCAGTCTAAAATGTGCAGCCACCCACTTCTCAGCAATCTCTTGCTTCACACAGCATTGCCTGCCGCCCTGAGCAACGGGGTGCATCAGTACACAGACCTTGGCTTGGGGGATCCTGTCCCACACGGCCAGGGGAGCCCAGGTTGACTGATGTAGCTAAGTGTCATCCGCCCTGTTTCTCCCCAGACACGGAGACTTGCGACTACGGCTGGCACAAATTCCAGGGGCAGTGCTACAAGTACTTTGCCCACCGGCGCACGTGGGACGCAGCTGAACGGGAATGCCGGCTGCAGGGCGCCCACCTCACCAGCATCCTCTCTCACGAAGAACAGATGTTTGTGAACCGTATGTACTGGAGAGACATGGGCCCCTGGAAACCTCACTCGACTGTGTTCAGTTTTCTCAGTTGGGATTCAGTTGATTGAAACCTTCCCCAGTGAACTGCTTAAAATGGCCTGGCTGGTCCCAGCCCTCCAGTGCAGGCATGTCCTACCACACTGGGAGGCACAACCTGGGCTGCCGGCAGTCCGAGGCTTGGCATTACAATCTAAGCTGGACCATAAGAGGAACTGCTCTCTCATCATTTTTGACTTCTGATAATGGCCCTTTCTTAGGTTCTAGTGGAATCTTCACCGTGATTCCTTCTGTGGTCTCAATTTAAGGATTGCATTCATTGACTCATGTTCAGATTATTTTCAGTTATTTTTTATCTTACTGATTAAAACCTAATCAACAACACAACTTAATCTTATCCAAGTTTCTAACTATTTCAGACCACAGAGAGTGAGGCCCATAGGAAGAATGGGAGATGGTAGAGATGGAAAGCAAATGAAACTAGAAATGAGAGCTGGCTGGCAACTCTGGGAACAGCAGTGCATTCTGGGGTAGCTAGTTTTATGTAAGCAACTAGAAAGGTGCTTCAAAAAGCTTATGGGAAAATGGACGCAAAAGATAAATTAGTTTTGATTTGATGCGAGGTTCAGTGTTGGGCATACTGGTGAGGCCAATTGTTGGGGTTGGGCTCCCTGATACCCCACGGCTGACCCAGCTCCCACCGCATGCTGGAACAGCAGCTGTGATTCCAGCATTTCGGCCCTTGCCACCCACATGGGGGACTTACACTGATTTCCCAATTCCTGGGTTTGGCCTGGCCCAGTAACACTGTTGCAAGTTCTTGGGGGAATAAGCCAACAGATAGGAGGTGTATCTCTGTCTCATATATAAAAAAATTGATTAATTAAATTAAAAAATGTTTGCAATAATTTTGAAATCTGTGCACATATTTTTTGCAATATATATTTTATGTTAATTTTTTAAAGATTTGTTATTTATTCGAAAGAGAGGGTTATGGGGGTGGGGTGGGGAAGAGAGAGAGAAAAAATCTTCCTGTTGGTTCACTCCCCACATGGCCCCAGAAGGCAGGACTGGGCCAGACCAAACCAGGAGCCAGGAGCCAGGGAGTTTGTCTTTCTCTCCCACATGAGAGCAGGGGCCCAAGTTCTAGGATCATCTTCACTACAAGAAGCTGGATCAGAAATGGAGCAGCTGGTGCTTGAACCTGTGACCCTATGGGATGCTGGCACAGGTGGCAGCTAACCCAGCTCCTCTGTTAGCTTGTTCAAGACTCCTCTTGTGTGGGCTGTTTTTGGTCCAATAGTGTTATCTGACTCCTTATTAAATATATATCTTTGGTACTTGCTGCATTTGAGAATTTAGATTGTAATTTGCATCTGGACAGAAGTCATTTAGCATTATTGCTTGCTGTCTTCGCCAGTGACCCATCTCATGGTGAAAATCAGTAATTCTGAGCATAGTTTTTCAGGACGATTTGGTCTGTGTGTTCACCACTTAAGATGCTCGAAGCAGAACCACGTGGCTTCCTTGTGGAGGGTAGCCTGACACGCTTTGACCCATTTTTGTTAGGCCATCAAACTTCTGCCAATGGCATAGCTTGAAAAAAGAAATACATGGAGAATTTCCATCATGAGTAAGGATGAAAGCTAATACTCCGAGTACTAGCCACCAGGGAGTTTTGTCTATATGAGACACCTTAATGTTTCATGGCATTCGCAAATTAGCTTTTCATTCTTTAAAAAGATTGTGTTTGTTTGAGAGGTAGGGAGACAGAAACAGAGCATCTCTCTGTGTTGACTTCCCAGACACCTGCAGTGGCTGGGCCTGGGCCGGGCTGAGGTCAACAGCTAGGAAGCCGGTCAAGGTCTCCCTAGTTCAGACCCTGTCACCCACTGCCTCCCAGACTCTGCATCAACAAGCAGCTGGAGCCAGCAGCTGGAGCTAGGGCTGGGACCCAAGAGCTCTCACGTGGAACGTGGCCATGTGAGCTGCTAGGCTAAACACCCACTCCCGCAAGCTCGCTTTTTGGTTTAAAGCACCTTGAGTAGAAGAACAGAAGATGCTTAGACTAGGAGAGATTTCATGAGCAACTACATGAAAACCTATCCAGAGAAGCAGCTGTGTGGTTCATCCTGCTGGTGATTTCTTTTGATGAGCGTTCATCACGTGTGGGCAAGGTTGTGAAAGGTCTGTGTGTCTCCCATCCTCTCAGGCCTGGGTCACGATTACCAGTGGATCGGCCTCAATGACAAGATGTTCGAGCATGATTTCCGCTGGACAGACGGCAGCACTCTGGTAAGACCCAGTGACACCTCCACGTGCCTGGCAGGGCCCGTGCCCGGTGCGTGTTCCGTGGGGCTGGAGACTGGCCACCAGTCCCAGCACTCGCTCAGAATCCTCCAGGGAACTGAAAACAGTTCCAAGCTGACCATCCACGGCTGCCAGCTTCTCATTAATGGACAGGCCTCTGTTTAGAAGAGGAACAGACAAAGGGACAGACAGATCCCCCACCCTCTGCTTCACTCCCGCACACCTGCAGCAGCCAGGACTGGACGAGACCCAAGCTGGGAGCCTGGAGTTCCACTCAGGTCTCTCACGTGGCTGAGAGAGAGGCGTGAGCATTGGACCAATCCTTCCTTGGCTGCCTTTCCAGAACAATTCCAGGGAGCCAGATTGTGAAGAGATGAGCTAGGCTCGAACCAGCATGCCTTTATATGATGTAGGTGTCCCAAGCCACAGCCTAACATGCCATACCACACTTGTCCCAAACATGGTTTGCTTTTGTGCAAACAAAACTTGCTCAGCTTTCATTGTAAATAGGATGTCCAATTTCATTGTTTATTGTATACAATGTATATTCATGGTTTTCTTAGAAAGAAGTGACAGAAATGCTGACCACAATTTAGGGTTCCTAGAGGAAGTGAAGTTATTTTGAGCTGCTACTGGTGAGCATGCACTGAGCACAACTCTGGAAAGAATTCAAATGTGGTTGGCTGTGCTAGGGGTGCTTAGCACTCTGCGTCACCGTTGCCTGGGGATGTGATTAAAACACCGCTCCCTAGGCCTCAGCCCAGACGCATTTCTCGGAGACCCCTAGCAGCTCGATTTTCTGGGTGTCCCCCTGTAGTTCTGAAATGCAGATGAGTTTGGGATCCACTGGGTTGGACAATACATGGAAACTGAGTTCTAAATTAAAGGGTAAAAGCTGAAAAGGGTTTCAAGCTCCTCTTACGTGTAAACTACTTAGGTACTTGAATTTCCTTCATTTCCTGCCACTCCCCGGGATTTAATGAGTTTAGCAGAATGTGAGGTTCCTTCTAGAACAGGTGCCAAAGTCAGCTGTGATTTGGAAAGTGTGCTTGGTTCCATTCAGGCAAGCGTCCCTGTGTTCTGACGGGTGTAGCGCTGATCTGGGCCTGCGACTACACTAAGCACGCATGCCAGCGTCCTGCAGGAACCGTCAGGAGTGCAGCTGGGAGCAAGGTGAAGGAAGGAAGGTCAATTGGGTTGAGCTTTTTGTTGTGGAGTCACAAAGCTGTTAAGTGGTGAAGTCTCCCAAACCACAGCCGGTGGTGTTCTGTCACCAGTTCCCTTGACTTGAAACTGAGTCAGTCTCCCGTATTGCATTTTTGCTCTGAACAATTAAACAAAAAAGCCTGAGTTTTTGTCTTTCTGTCTCACTCTTCTCTCACTCATTTTTCATATTCAGTCCAGCACAATTTTCGTTGTTGGTGGTGTTTTTTTGTTTGTTTGTTTGGTTGGTTCTTTTGGAGGCAGTGAACTTGAGATGTAAGATTGTGTCCAGTGAGATGTGTGAATGGCAACCTCAGGATTCTTTGTCTCATTTTCTTGCACCAGTCCTAGCTGAGTGTTGTATCTTTTGTGTTTTCATTTTTGTACAGAAGAAGGATGGCCAGTTAGAAAAATAGCGGATAGTATTTCATGAGGCCTTAAATGTCAGTTTCAATTGACGATGGATGATTTTGTTTACATAGATTAAATTTATAATTTAAAACAGCCCTTTTTGTAAGTTACAGTTTTTTTTTTTTTTGGTTAAAACTTTGATAACTTGGTTACTGTCTGTTACACAGCAGAGGCTTTTAATGTGTTTTCCTTTGTTGAATGCGTGCTTCAGTCTTGGCGAAGTCGGGTTTGTAGGATATCCATTAGTCGTCTACCGCCCCTAGATATTTCCTTCTAAGCAGCCCCGTGGAAAGTGCGGCTCTTGCTGCACCTTTTTGTGTTACGGAGTGTGGAATGCCCTGGACCCAGGGTTTGATTCAGGCTTGTGTCTTCGGGCTTGGGATTTGGACACTTGTGTCTTACAGATCCAGGCCAGGATTTGTCTCCCACTGTAGGTATAAGCTGGGTTCTTGTGTGTTCCAGCAGTGAGCCTGGAATAGCTGAATGTGTAGGAAAGCTCTCATTTGTTCCACACCGACCTGAGCCAGGTGCCAGTCTGTTTCCAATCTGTCATTGGTTATAGTTTCCAGTCTGTCATCGGTTACACACAGTTGGTTTGTGTTTCCCCTCCTCTTTTTCAGAGTTATGTGTACCACTGGACCTCTATTCTGGCCTTTCTTACTAGCAGGCTGCCTCTTCAAACAAGTGGTTCATTCCTCTGCTTTTTGTTTTTCACAGTGTGTAAGATAAAGTCTTATCCCTTATCCCTGTGAGCTTGGTCAATGAAACAAAATGTTGACTTAAATCTGGCAGCTATGTGGGCATCTGTAAAATGTCTTGAGGAGTTTATCTTCCCTGCCAGGTGCCATATAAGTGAACTTGACTCGTTATCTATTATTATTGGATCATGCCAAACAAAGCAACTAACTGTTGATTTGTCTGTAGCCATTAATGTAAAAAAAATATATTCAATTAGAGGAAAATAAGATTGATAGAGAGATTCCCTGTTCATTGATTCATTCTCGCAATGCCTGTAAAAGCTGCAGCCCGGCCAGGAGTCCAGAAGTCTACCTGGGGCTTCCTTCTGGGGGGCAAGGACCCGACCACTTGAACCATCACCTGCCAACTCCCAGGACACTGTGCATTTCCAAGAAGCTGGAATTGGAAGCAGAGCCAGGCATTCTGGGCTGGAACGCAGGCATCACAAGCTCTATCTAGTTGAATGTTAAGCTAAACGCCTGTTTCTTTGTCCTTAAGTATTTAACGTTAACCTCACAAATACTATGGGAAAAATAATTTCTCTGTTCTCATAGTCTGGGCTTGTCTTGAACTTAGCTAGTGAGCATTGCATTGGTCCATGGAGAAATACAGAGGTTTTCAGTGTCAGCGGAGGCCTAAGGGTTATGCACAGGGCACGTCAGTCAGGTCTCAGATGGAGCGGCACCATCTGACCACAGCGGAGCAGTGACCCTGGTGAGGGCAGAAGCATCTCTGACCACCTTGTTTGTTTCCGAAGTCCCTGTTTTTGCAGCCTGCACGTGTGTTAAGGAGTGTCCCTCAGCTTTGAACATTCTGGAAGAGCCAAGGCCCTTGCCCAGCAGCACAGCTTCCTCCCCTGTGACTGATGCCCGACCCACCAGCCTGCCTTGGTCTCCACCCTCTCCTCTCCCCTTGGTTCTGAGCCAGCCTAGGTGTCTCCCCAGGCCAGTTCTAGCACTTTCTGAAGTCCCTGTCCCCTAATGAGTTCCACATGTGCAAGCCTTTGATGCTAGTTCTCCGTTGTCCCCCTGCTTACTTCCAGTGCTTGCTTTGGAGAGAAGCCCTAGGACTGCAGTCCTCATCTGCCTAGAAATGGACTTGACTTGACCGTGTGTGATTTCTGGGCTTTGTTTATGTTTTAGAATGATGTCTCTGTGTCTCCTCACTCCCCCCCCCCTGCCTTTTTTTGTTTGAAATATTTATCCAGGTTCATCTGTCTGAGGAGGTAGGGCAGTATTGAAACCACGCAGAATCTTTGATATTTACCTTTCAGTACCTTTTGATGTTTGGTCTTAAAATTCAGTAAAAGCAAACAAGTTTATATTAGGTCTCAATTCAATGATTTCTTTTATTGAGATAATTAAACTTTGATTCCAGTAAACTTGCAGTACAATTACATCGTATTTAACAGGATCTTGCTTTATAGCTAAACTAATTCAATTCATATGTTTATCCTGAATGAACAAAGCTCCGTGGACAAGTTATCTGAACTGGCTTTATTATCCAGATTCGGATTCGTTCATTCCACATAATTGGCTTCTGTTACAGGAAACTTATATCATTGGTGAAATGCCAGGTTTTTACTTTTGTTATGTTTTTTAAAATCATTCCCTTTATTTATCTGGGTCATTTGCCTAATAAATCTCACAAAATCACATCCACGAGGAACACTGGGCCTGGCCTTGCTGTTCTGATGTGTTCAGGACACTTGAGAAAGTTTGTGGGAAAGGCAACAAGGAGATAAATTTGTTGTGGTGCAAGAACTTTTTGAAATTCATGCAGGTGGAAGGTCTCCAAAGAGCCGCTGGGTAATGAGTGTCATGAGGGAATAAGGCAGGGATTTGGGGGCCTGGTACACCAAAACCAACTGCTCTCTGACTTCTGTCCCCCATGAGCTTGTGGAAGTGCCCGGCCTGCAGGCTCCCCCAGCTTTCCTCGTCCCTGGGCGCCCTCCTGTAGCTTGACTGTAGATCTCTCCCACTGCCCTACACCTTGAGCCTTGCCGGAAGCTCTGACACAGAACCTCAATAATGAATTGTTCTGCTTGTCACCCAAGGAATGTCTTCAAAGACACTAAGTTAAACCAACCAAATACACATCAAAGCTAGTGAGCTTAGACAAACCTGTCTTATCTATACTCTTATATGACTTTCTTTAACCAGTTGAATGAGTGGCCAGCCGAGTGCCTTTCCTCTGCTCCGTTGTCCAGCAGCAGTGACCTCGGCTTCCCCCAGCTGTGAACTGCTGCCACTCTCTTCTCAACATTCTTTGGTGTCTTACCCTCATCTTCGTGTGACTTGTCAATGAGTGGTGTGGCAGACAAAGTGTGTGCACTCCATTTGCCACCTCCTACTCTCTAGAGCTCGAGGTGCCCCCCCCCATCTCTGGAATAGGCCTGATAACCCCAGCAGGGATTTATTTGAACTGGCCCTAGTACTTATTGTGTTCTTGCCTGGTTCTTGCATTCCGTTCTGTTCAAAGAGCCTGCAGAGCCAAGCGTCTCCTTAGAGGAAGCCCTCCTTGCTCCTGTGACCAGGACTGCTGGTCTCTGTTCCCACAGCCCTTTCTCATCCTAGCACTGCCCCCCATCCAGGATGGGCTTGCTGACACCAAGCCTCCTGAGGATTAACCTT